CTTCATGTTCAAAAACCTTCTCAACTCTCTATTGTCTCTGTTTCAAACTTTTACATTCTTTTATTTACTAGTTAAAGCTATGTTTAAAGTAGGTGTATGGCTTGACCAAGTCCGATTGTTTTTGCTTTTGTTGATTGATGTTTGCTTCAGCTAAAAACAGGGGTTTTTTCAATAGTTGATTGAATTTCAGTATGTTAAACTTGTCCTCCCACACGTTGCTCTTGTTGCTGTTGTCTGTTTGTATGCAGTGATTGGCGCGTACATATTCTATCGACTGGAATCACCAAACGAAGACAGGGTAAGTCATTCTGTTTTAATGAGAGCCTCTAGTTTTCTAAGAATTCGCTATTTGAAATTTTTCTTGTAAAGAGATCGCTTTAGCGAGAAACATTTAAATATTCTAATTCAGTTAAAATCTGTCGGGAAAGCGTTGATAACCGATATGCGGGGGAACCTAGTGGCTATGATTAGGACCGGTGAGTGCTATTGTCCAGCTGTAGACCACTGAGGAGATCCATAAACAAAAAGTTCCAGGCCGAGGTAGCAAAGACGAATGGCGGGATTCGATAGAAGGCGAGCTCTATCGATTCAACGATAAGATTTACAAAGCCTTCAAGGAGCAGTACGTGAGGTGAGAGGAGAATAGAATTTGGTTGAAATGAATAGATAAGAATGCTGCAGATATGCTGACGTACGGGTAACACCGACGCATGCGTTGTCGACGAGAAAAGAAGACGGGGACAGATCGAAGAGGCACAGGTAGAGACATTTGGCAGAAATTTAATAATTAATTCTTGCTTCTTTTCGTCCTTCTGATGGATCAGTTTTGGCTAGTTACAACCGCCGTCATTCCAAATTTCGAATCATTTTCTTATCCACAGTATGATTTCATTCATGTTGCATTTGCTACTTCGCATCTAATGTAAGAGATGAATTATAGGTCAATTAAGAGAGTGAGCATCTGTATAGCATTTATTATCATTCTTTTCAAATCCAATTATTCCTTTATTTAAATCCATTATCTGGAAATTTTTGAATATAAAGTAACTGTTTAGGAATACCAAACTTCGTGGAGAAAAAGCTGAGAAAATGTGGACAGCTAGCAGTGCACTCTTCTTTGCTGCAACGACAATGGCAACCATCGGTAAGAAGTTGGCAAATAACCCTGTTGATTCACTTATTTTTTACCTATGAAAACTGTGAATTCATTTATCTGTAGGGGAAGAAGACCATTGTGCGACAATTTGGGGTCAAAGTGCGAAAATTACTTCGAAAATAATTCTTTAAAATATTGACCTGAAAATTCTGTTAAATCTGGAACTATGCAATAAACAGTGGAAAATGTAATAAAAAAAAAGGAACAATTCATATTGTGGCAAACCTTGCTTGAAGAACAATACGAAGATTAAAATAATCGTTTCTAAAAATTTTCTTTAAAAAATATTGAATAATTTGAACCAAAATGTGATGAATAAAATGACGATTGGTGATAAATTCTAGGCTTGATAATCTTGTAGTGAACTCTTCAATC